CTCCACTGGCCTTTTGCATCTATTGGCATCATCTTGCAAACAGACACACTGATGCCAAAAAAATTAATAAAAAATCAAAAATAACATTACCTACTTGGAAACATAATTTTAAGTTTGGAATGCTTTTTGCAGGTTTCATTTTACTGCGTCGAAACCTTTCTGTATTTTTCCCTCCTCCAGTGATTACAATTGCTCTACATATGTGGTGTATTCCGATTAGATATAGCCCATATATCCATTCTGGCATATATTTATACACCATCTCATTACTTACATGCTGTGCACTCTATATGATTTCATTACTGCTTTTGCACTTCTGGTTACAGACACTCTTAATTCTGTCACCTTCTACAATCTACAAATGACACCTTGATGGGTAATTACAATAAAGTTGAATGCAATACTTTGTCTAACAATCAAAGTTTTACATTAACATCTGGGACTCTTCTACATATTTGTTAGGGGTAAGGTTACTTTTTTTTATTAATGAAAGGCCTTTATTTTTACAGTAGTATTGTACTCGTGTCTACGGTGAGCGGATGTCTATCCAAGCTGACGTTGGCCCGGGAGGTTAGCTACAACCTGGATTGGTCACTGATCAATCGCAAGGCACCTCGAAACAAGGAAACACTCATTCTCACGCTTCAGGCCAATTTCAAGTCTTTGATGAAGTTAACGTGCATGTTTTAAACCTGAGGTGTCCAAGCTATAGCCCGGAGGCCATTTGCGGCCCACCATCCATCTTTCTGCGACCCATGTTCTACACTAAAAATGACATTTGACATTGCCTGCAAAGCTAGGTTAAAAAAAAAAAAAAAAGGATGGAAGTGGCAGAGTGAACAAAGAAAGTTTCCAAAAAATTAGGCACCAATACTACTAATAATAAATTGGTTTGTATCCTGGAGAGCCTTTCTTGATATGAAAAGATACACAGTATTTAGTAAAATAACTACAATGATAATACAATTTATCCTCTTAATTATAAAGACCCCAGTGATTCAATTTTAGAAACAAAAAAAGTTTCCTCTCGTTTTTGTTCTGAATGTGGAGATGAGATTCGGTCCCCGTTCAGTGCAGGGGTGGATCTAGTCTAATGGCACTCATGGCGGATGCCCTCCCAAATATTGAAAATCCTAAACTCTTTCCCTTATCAGCTTGAACAGAAAGCTGTTATGTAGGTTTTTTTTTAAATAGCCATTGAAAATGTAAACAATATGTAATTGCATGCTTGATTTTAATGTGTTAAAAAAAAAAGGTAAAAGATCTGTAAAGCGTCCCTTGCATCCTTCCATTTTTCTGCATGCGTCTCTTAAACGGAAAAAAAGTTGTTCTAAATTCTACGCATACTGTAAAACTCGAATACTTTACTGTCATACTCTCCTATACTGTAAAAAAATATTTTTTCATATATTTTCTATAAATAAAGGATGCGTCAATTCAGGCTGAGGTGTTTAGTAAATGGTGTGCACAAGTAATTCGTCCAAAAAGTCTCGTTAGAGGAAACGTGGCATTGTTGTGTCTATTTAAAATTATTGACATGCCAACACTTCTTCTCTTTTATCTGCGATTCACTCTTTTTTAATTGCTCATCCATATTAGGAATTCAAACAAATTATTGCAACAGTCAGACAGTGGTGATATAAATCAAACCGTCACCTTTGAAAGTCGTTTCTAAAACCTGTCAATGTTCAGTGACGGTAGCTCATGAGGGTTTACAACAGTGGGTGACATTGAAGAACGAGAAATTTTTTCAGAAAACGCCATTAGAATTAGATTCTTTGGATTGGACGAAACCAATGTCACCTTGTGTTAGGAAGATGGTTAAGAAAGAAGTACAGAGAAGGCAAGGCACAGCTTATGATCCAAAGCATCCCACATCCTTTCTGTGCCGCAAGGGAGTCGAGGGACGCTGGAGCCTATTCTCGCTGACTTCAGGTGAAAGGCAGAAGACACTGTTAGTCGCCAGTCAAATAAGGACACATAGAAACATAGAACTGTTGCCAAAGCATGCCACATAACTTCAAAAAAAAAAGAAAAGAAAAAGGAAAAAAAAGGTTAAACGGCAAAAATGTAACACAAGGTTTGTCATGGCATTTACAGCCGCGGGTTTTACATTATTTTGTAATATTGGACTAAGACTTAATAGGCTTGAGGTCAGCGCTTCGTAGCTAATTCCATCCACTTAACATTCTGCTGAATTTCGTTTGGTGAAAAAGACCATTTACAGAAGTTAGGAATCAGTCATCCACCCCGTCGGGCTCAAAGAGCTCCGAAAGAGCGGTTCGGGTTAATTGCACTTGATCAGTCAGATACAGGTCTGTAGTATTGTCAAGCACGGCGTAGTGCTCCGTGCTCAGAGGCACTGCAAGCCTGGAGGATGCCCAGGAGGCGACGGGCACTTTGGAAAAGGTAGCCCATTCTGGAGAGGAAGCAGATGGCCTGCATTAAAAAGCAAAGGGCCCTTGTGACAGTCCTCAATAGCCCTGCAGAGAACTGGATAATTAAATGAGAAATTTAATCAAATTCTTCAAATTAAATGTCCAGCTGGATAGCTTTGCAAAGAACACCACCGAATACAGACTTACCTGAGGGACGGACGCTGGTGCGCGCACAATCCTCCAATCAGTCCACTCTCACACGTGATGAGTGTAGGTGATGATTACTGCTAAAGCATTCCATTCACACTTCTGCCAGCAGAAGGCAAAGGGGCATTCGTTTGCGCCCACCGGAGACTCATTTTCGTAATAGGACCTGAGAGAAAGTGACTAAACAGTGGAAGCTTGATTTCTGTTTTTGGGGCACGAGGGTGCACTGCCCCACTAGATTCATCAGGGGGGCTCTGTCCCTCTCTGGATTGGTTGCCATGGCACATTCGACAAACAACCATTCACAGCACGTTCACATTATGGACAATTTGGAGTCTTCATTAAACCTAACGAGGCAGGAAGCAAACTCCAAACAGGATGGATAGGGTTCGAACACAGAACTGCTTAACTGTGACGCAAACTGGCTAACCACCCTTGATTGTGATGGCCAAGTGAACTTTTAGTGGAAAAAAAAAAGAAAACCAATGACAAATGCAGCAAGAACAAAGGCAGACTTGGTGCAACAAATAAGTCTGGTAGCTCCACAATGCAATACTACAAAAATAATCACAGTCTTTTTTTTTCTTGTGGGGAAAAGGGGGGCAATCTATTTGAGGGAGACCTTTATGACACTCCTGGCAATGAAGTGGAGCATGCCGCCTATTAGATGGACGACCACTATTTGATCTGTAGCATTCGGACTGTGTCTCACGCCTGAGAAATTCCACCGGGGGTGTGGGCGTGGCTTGCATTTGTTATCGGAAAATGGCTACAAGATGCCAATTTCATTGAACCCCGTGAAATCTGCCTGTAGGAAAATGTAATATATAAACAAACAAATAAATAAATCCATCTCTTTATACAAAAAGAGGACATCATTTTAAACTGACAGTGTAACACAAATGCACAAACACAAATTGATTATGACTCAGAAAATGGGCACAAATGTTGATCATTGTTTTCCAAAGTAAAGGCAAACATTTTTCAAATGTGTTTATTTTGATTACAGTATACGCAAAGATAATCTGTCTTCTTTCATGGAGCCCTACAGAAGTCTGACAATGTTCACTGCTGAGAGGCTGACATTCTGAGGATAGTGACAATATTTAGCGACACGATGTTTCTAAACAATTAATCGAATATCACTATAGTTGTTGATGAATTTGATAATCAATTAGTTGTCAATTAATCAGTTTATTGTTGCACCTCTACACGTAACAGTGAAAATGATCAAACCATAAATATAAAAGAATCAAATGTAAAACAACATCCTTACACCATATCATTAGTTTCCCACGAAATCTGCCTAGCAACAAGTGACAAAGGTGTCACATGGCAGTAAAAAAGGCAATCGGCTTTATATTCATCAGTCTGTTAGATATTGTAGTTAGACGTTTTTGATAGTTTCAGTATGAATCACAAATGTGTGTTGTCTGTGGGATTGGAGGATGATTTTGAATAATAAAAAAATAGTCAGAAGATTGTAGTTTCATTTTATAAAGCCTGATTGCTGTTTTTCATTACAAAAAAAAACAAAAACCTAACAAACAAAACGCCACAGGGTTTAAGGCTACAGCCTCCCATTCCATTTTATCCCATCCCATTTGATTCAACATGAAAAAGAGACAGAAAAACACTGCTACATGATATGAAAACTGAAACGATGCATTGGGGACCCTCGCCTCAAAATAAAAACAAAATTGCTACCTAAAACAGTTTGCAATGTCATACCATGTCAATGATTGCCATTTGTATTGGGCCTTTTTTTAATGGATTTCCCTTGTGTAGAAGCAATGCTATTTGGGTGTTTGAAAATATCTCTAAACCCCAATGTGTTATAATAAAAGGGTAAAGACTTTTTCAAATTGGTGTCAAAAATACATTTAGCGAAGCACAAAGCCAAATGGGATTAAAATTTGCTGTTGACCAGTGTTATTGTTCGCTTTTCTTCTACATTTATCCATCCATCCATCCATCCATCCATTTTCAACACCGCTTATCCTGAACAAGGTCGTGGGTAGTTGCTGGAGCCTATCACCGTTGACCTCAGGCGGAAGGCAGACTACACCCTGAACTGGTCGCCAGTCAGTCGAAAAGGGCACAAATAGAGACAAACATTCACAACCACACAGTGACTGAGTGGGAACCGATCCCATGTTGCCCAGGCAAGTCCGGCGAGTGTACCTGCAGTACACCGTCAGTGACTTTGTATATCAATGTTTAAAGAAAATTGAGGGTCCACTGTTTTTCATCAGTGCGAGTTGGTGGCGTGGAGGGTGCAAAAAGGACAGGGCGCCCCATCAAGCTCGGACCGCCACTGCTCTCGGGAACAGACCAACGTCTCAGCTCAAAAGCTTTTCTTTTTTTTTTTTTTGCATTCAACAAATCCGAGCACCGCCTCCCCGCCGTCCCTCCGCCCCGCGCGCAGGCAGCCTGTCCGCCAGGATGGGACCAGCAGCCGCCTGATATCCATGCATGCATTCATGACCGCTAGGCCACTTCCTGGATAGAAGAATGGGACAATTCCAGCAGCAGTTTTTCTTCGCATTGCGTGTCGCTCGCAATCACGGATAAACGCCGAGTGATCCGATCGTTACTTCCAATCGATATTATCGGACCACTTTTCCTCCCACCCTTTCGTGTGTAGTTAAGGACAGCCATTGATCGCCGCCTGACCCCTTTCCACTCTCCGGGAATGTGGCTCCGCGGAAGCCCGTCGTGGAGTCATAAAAGCCCTGCTTGGAAGTGTTTTCACACAGCCGTGGCGTGTTATTCCTCGATGCCCAAGGAGCCCCAACTTGGATCAACGCTGACTATTTTGTAACGGGGGAATACAAGACATTTTCTTTTTTGATGCGTGCGTGGCCGCGGCATCAACTTCATTTTTTGGTGGGGGGGAAAGGCTTCACTCGCACGCGTGGGATTGTCACCCTCCCTCTTTTCCTATAACAAGCTAAAAGACTGAAAAAAAACCACCCAGAAACTTTGTCACTCATTGCCTCCTGGTTGCTCTCCATGAGTAGTCTAACATGCAGAGGAGACGGGAACCGAATTGCTGGTGGATTTTATCCGTAATGCTTCTTCTAACATTGCCCGAACACGGCGACTGTCATCCTGGTAAGTAGCGGCGCTTACTTTGCGGCACACAAGCTAGCTTTCATGTTACCAAGCCCCGACTCTACATAGCTGCGTATTTGAATTACTCTCATTCTTGAAATTGTGTTTATGTGGTTTTTTTTTCTTCTTCTAATCATATCGACTCTTGTAATGTCGACATAAAACGCGTTGAAAAAGGCGACGCTCACACACAACACGTCCTGAAGCTCGCTTGCTTATTAGTGTGCACGTTCATCATCATCCAGCCGCACCGTGGCGCAAAATATCCGTCACATTAACATCATAAAATCAACACTTTCTTTTTTTAATTTAACTTTTTAAAACGCTCTTTTGCCGCTCTTTGTCATCTCGCAGCTTGTCAAATTGTTGGTAGGGATGCGAAGCATAACATTGTATTCCAGTTGCCACTTTTATGCCATCTTTCGTATCGTCTTTCTTTTTAATTGGAGCCAAAGTTTGAATGGAATTGTCTTAAACGTGTTTGTGTGTCTGTGTGTGCGTGTATGTCTACTTGTTATGATGAGGGCGACACTTGCCCCTTTGGTATGCTAGACAGCGAGTATAGGACTGTGACTCATTTTACATCCACCGGACAATTTATTAGGTACACCTGGGAGCTGAATCCGTGTTACAAAAAGACAGCATGACAATTTCGTATTGCAGTGTGACACAAAAATAACCACTGTTGGGTTCATAGTTCTCTGACGGCATTGATTAAAAAAAAATAGAGAAATCTAGTTCCCTTGAAGGTGGCACGACAGTTGACTGGTTGGCACGTCCACTTCACAGTGCAGAGGTACACCGTTCGATTCCAGCTCCGGCCTTCCTGTGTGGAGCTTGAATGTTGTCCCCGTGCATGCGTGGATTTTCTCCAGGTACTCCGGTCTCCTCCTATGTTCCAAAAACATGAATGGCAGGTTAATGGAACACTCTAAATTGTCCCTCGGTGTGAGTGTGAGTGCGAATGGTTGTTCGTCCATGTGTGCCTTGCGAGTGGCTGGCAATTAGTTCAGGTTGTCCCTGCCTGAAGACAGCTGGGATCGGCTACAGCACGCCCGCGACCCTCGTGGAGCATATGCGGTTTAGACAATTGATCGATGGGTAGTTTCCTTGATGCAACTAACAAGAAAATGTGTGAAAATGCCCCCAGTATTATTTTATAGTATATATTCAACTTACATTTAATTGTGCAAAAATCTGATTCAAAGAAATGCAAGCGCTGTATTTGTAGTCTGCAGGATTGTTAAAGAAATAGTTCTCTGACAGTGTCACTCAAAACTGATTGGAATTCTTTTGCAGATTTTTTTTTTTAATCTAACGGTGTAGTGGTTCATTCAGATGATGTTCATGGAACCAGCGTAGGTTCAATTCCTTGGTGATGTTCCAAATCTGCACCTCTTTGACGGTGTTCAGTAGCCTTTTTGCCGATATTTTTTATTTTTATTGACAGATTTTGCCCAGGTCTGTTTTGAAAATGTGCACTCTCTAACGGTTTAGCTGTTCATTCATATGACGTCCATGCAGGCAACGCAAGGCTGAATTTCCATTCAGGGACAGTGTGAAAGGTCGGTTTCTATATGTGCGCTGCATTAAGTGGCGACCATTCTAGTGTAGAACTGTGCGATAGAATTAAATAAATTGCAGTACTATATGAAAAGCAAACACGTACAATTTCTGCCCTCTATCGTTGATGATATTTTATTTTTTTCCTGTAGTTTCATTTCCTCCATTCAGAGATACGCTTACGCCACCGCCACTAGCTGTGGATGTGCGTCCAAAGTGTGGGTGATCAATTTATCCAGCGATTCACATTAGTGTTTGGAGCAAGCTGTGTTCTCGGACGCACGAGCCGGTCGGTGCGTTATCCTCAAGAAGCAGTCTTGTGTTTCTTTTCCATCCATTGGATTTTCATCTTAGCACACAGAATTTATGTTAGTCAATATGTATTATCTACAGTACTTGAATGGCCTCACGACTTCTTTCTTCTGTGTCCTTGATGTCTTCTTTGTTTCTCATCGACATATTTCTTTGACATAGTCCCTCTTATTGTTTAGACTGAGTCACAACAATGGGTTGAACCAGGTTATTCATTGAAATGGGCAAGTACTAATGCACCAGGTATTGTATCGGGACGCTACCGTATTTAAAGGTATCGCATTCTTCTGGAGGCTGCTGATGCCAGCCACTGATACTCGAGACAAAAAAATCTGACATTGAGTAATACATCGGCAGTAGTTGGCGCTATACTGCAGCAGTTGACACGCTGGCAAATCATCACCTGTGATAGAAAGGTTTTTGTTCACAATTTTGTGTCCATGAGTTACATGAAATTTTAAGTACAAGAGGTACTGGTACTCTGTATCAGTGAGTACGCAGCGGATACTTGTACTAGTATTGCTGTGAAAAAATAAAGTGGGATGGTGCATGCCGAGATCTTCAGCATTAGCTGACAAAGGGGTTTAAAAGTCAACCTCAAACATTGAATTCATTCACGTTTATTTGTTCACTGCTACACATACCTGAATGTCATTTGAAGGACTTCATGTTATTTCCGCTTTATTACGTTCTTTGAAAACTGTCTGTACCACTATTTTGAGACATATTGTAATTGGCTTTTAGACATTTGTATTTTATTAGAATCCATTTTTATGAATCCATTATTCGTTTGATTGTGTTTTCTTTTATGAAAATTTGACCACTCTTGCACAACTTTTGTGTTCTCATAATGGGCAGCCTTGTCTATCGTTTTCACCACAGGTCAAAAATCTGCAAGTTTTAGAAATTTTTTTTTTTTTTTTTGCTCTGATGTTCCTTACCAGTTTTTTCATATGTTTGGATGACAACACCCATCAAATCAGCAAGAATAATCGAAAAGATAACCAACTGGGAGTAGTTGTCGGTCATTACTGACAAATTTGTTCTCCCATAGTCGAATCCGCATATTAAAATGAAAGTTAAAAGCAGCAGTGATGCATTCCAACAGCCAAACGTTTTCCAGTTGGAACATAATTCAGAGAGTATAATTTGTTGGTGTTGTCACTGTGTGGCCTAAAATGCGCTCATTTATTTTTCCCCAAACTTTACCATCTCTGATCACTGTTGCTGGTCCTCATTTCCCAAAAAAAAAAAAAAAAAAAAAACCTTGCATACTGTTCTTTGATTTTTATCCGCTACTGTTCACATTGGATCCATTCATGTAGTTTTTTTTTTTTTTTTTGGTTTGTTTTTAATTGGCTTTATTTTCTTGTCTGGATGAAAATTGGTTATTCTCTAATTTATTTTATTTATTTTTAGCCAGTGCAAGTCCAACACGAGGGTGATGGCGTTAAATCAGGTAATGTACATATGGGCTGCACTGTCGGAGAAAACAGTTGGTTAGGACTTGCCAAATAAATAAATAAATAAATGGATGAATAATGCAACCAGCGCACTGACAAAGTGACCTTAGACCTCGGCCACCTCAAGGATCTTGCTATTATTAGAAAGCACCCAACTGTTACCACCACAAAATCTTTATTCATAAGAAGTCCATTTTTTAATTTTGTTTTTATTTTTACTTGAATTGTCATCATGATAAGAAAAAATGAACTTTGACAAGTGATGGACATTAAGATATCTCTATATTGCAAGTTTTATTTCTTATTCTGTTGTCAAGGATTTTCTGCTTGAGGTGACCGATTCTCCAAAGTAGATATCAGTTCTACAGCATTTTCTTTTCACCACTGACTGTTTTCTGCTACTTTGTCTGCCGCTGCTTTTCACACCGTCTGTTTTGTTGAACACTTGTGACATTTGTCGCCTATTGATGGGGGGTTGGTCGGATGAGCGCGACTTGAACATCCAAACAGCAGTCGCAACGCATACATATCCGATTTATATCCACATACAAAAGAGACCTTGGTCGGATTTTAAAAAAAAAAGAAGGAATTATCCTGTTAACATTGACAGGAAAAAAAATCTGATAAATGTCATGCTGCGCAAAAATAAATAAATATATACGAAATGACCTGCAGTATGAACTAGGGCTGCCTGCCACTAATGTTTCATTTAATAATTGATTAATCTTTTGCCGACTTTGTATTGGTCTGTCGTGGTAAAGAAGGAGCTGAGCCAAAGGGCGAAGCTCTCAATTTACCAATCGATCTACATTCCAACCCTCATCTATGGTCACGAGCTATGGGTCGTGACCGAAAGAACGAAATCCCGGATATAAGCGGCTGAAACGAGTTTTCTCCGCAGGGTGTCCGGGCTCTCCATTAGAGATAAGGTGAGAAGCTCGGTCATCCGGGAGGGGTTCAGAGTCGAGCCGCTTCTCCTCCACATCGAGAGGAGCGCGATGAAGTGGCTTGGGTATCTGATTAGGGTGCATCCTGAACGCCTCCCTGGTGAGGTGTTCCGGGCACGTCCCACCGGCAGTAGGCCCCGGGGACGACCCAGGACATGCTGGTTAGAATATGTCACCCAACTGGCCTGGGAACGCCTCGGGATCCCCCGGGAAGAGCTAGAAGAAGTGGTTGGGGAGAGGCAAGTCTGGGCTCCCCTGCTAAAGCCGCTGCCCCCACAACGCGACCCCGGATAAGCGGTAGAAAATGGATGGATTGATGGATTAATCTTTTGATGATTTTGCCATTAAATTGATAAATCAAATAAAATGTTTTTTAAATTTTCATCCCTTTATTTAAAAAATGGACATTATCTCAAATCAACAGGGCAAAAAAAAATTATGATTCAGTTCCTTGTTTGTTCTGTAAAATGTCAAGAAACACTCATAGTCTGCTGTCATGGAGGACAAATACGATTGAGAAACTGAAGTTTTGAGGATTTGGATAATTTTTAATTTAAAAAAGGTATCTAAATGATGAATCGATTATCAATAATAATTAGCGATTACTTTGATAATCATAAATCATTGCACCTTAATTTATGAAGATGTCCAAAAGAAGAAGCAAAACAAACTCGAGTTCTTCCTTTAGATGCTTACCGAGCTGAAGTCACACACG